TATGGACACCGGGAGCAACTAGAGTACTTTCTTGCAAAAGTAAAGATACGTATTTCGAGGAAACCACTCAAGATGAAGGCATGTGAAGTCAAAAACCAACTCCGAGCATGAGAAGTGAGGTTGTGCCAACAATGTGACAAATGAGAAAAAGACAGAATAGGGAAAAAGACGAAATAGCGCATAGTGTCCAAAAACGAAAAATGCGAAAATGACTCAGTCCTCAAAGGAAGTTGTCAATTCACATGAAAGAGTCTCAGAAACCAATTCTGAGTGCTCGAGATGACACTAAGCGATACGAAACAGAGCTCAGAAAAGAAAATTAAACGAAAAAAATTCATTCCTAAAATTTCAGGAAAAAGGAAAGGAAGGCAAATGACCGGGTCGTTACATTTCTAGAAACTCTTATGAGACTTCACTCGTCCACTAGGGGTAACCTAGGGGTTTAAAAGGCTTATTGCATAAGCTAAATGCAATCGTGTTCCCTACGAAAGTGGCGCTATCATTTCATTGCTTTCTAGTTTATAGTTGTATAGTTGTTTATTTGTTTCTTTTCTTTGTAGTTCATTAATAAGGACTAGCAATATCTAAGTTTAGGGTGTAATGAGTGCTCAAATGTGATGCATTTTAGCACCTAAGCTAGGGTATTTTAGTCAATTCATCTATCTTACTTTCATGTTATAATACTTATTTGTGTTTTTGCCTATTTCAGGTCAATAAAGTTCAAACAGGCTAAGAAGAGCCATTTAGCTCAATTTTAGAGCTAAGGAGCAAATCTGGAAATAAGTCAAGAAAATTGCATTAGTAGATCTTCGATCGATCGAAGGAAGTCCCGATCGGTCGAAGAAGGCTACAATCGATTCAAATTAAGGCGGTGCCAACTTAGTAATCCAGATAAGGCCAAGAAAATATTTTCATGACACGTAAGCTTTGATTGATCAAAGTAAGAGTTTGATCGATCGAAAATCCTTCGATCGATCGAAATGGCTACTGGCAGTGAGCCGTCTAATTCCCAAGCGCGCCCAGATTCTACTACTTTTTGTAGCTGCGAATTTCCACCAATCAGAGGTAGTATTTCTGACTTGTTGCCTACTCAAAGATGCTTGTAATAGATTAATTGAACCAATTTTTGTAGAGGTTACACATAGAGATATTTTTACCAAATATAGAAACAGTTTCTCTCTCTAGAACTAGGGTTTTGGGAAGAAAGTAAGGATGAAGATGATGATACTAACCTCCAAGTTAACCCTTGAGGGTTCCATGGCCACTACAATGAATGACTAAATATTTCTTTTAGGGCTAAAGATAGCCCCTAGGCTTGCTTCCTAAACCTAGCTTTTGTATATTTTTGGGAATTTTAGTTGTAATTGATGTTTTGACCATGAATAAATGTAGATCTTGTGATTTTTACATGATTTGTATGGATTAATGCTTTCAATTGATCATCTAATTCTATCTATATGTCTATGTATGCTAGAATGAATGTTCATGTGCTTTTCTCTACATTTAATGAAATTGATGCATATCTATGTGTGTTAATGTTATAAATTTAGTGATGGTTAAGGCATGGTGCTTAATTGATTACTCTTGTGGTTTATTTGATGGTTCATACTTATTTCTTGATGGATTATGCCACCTTCTTAGTTTAATTAGTTTAATTTTCATGTCATTAGCATAGTTGTAGTGTAATTACTTTCATTTCATAGATAAGTGGACAATCCATTCTTGTTGTTTGATGTTCCATACTTATGAGTGCAAGAAGTACATTTCTCTAAATTTTTGTGTATGCACTAATTGTGGTTTAGTTGAATGGTTAATGGTCTCATTTGATAGTTTGTGCTAATCACTAGATTGATTAGACAATCTATGCTTATTTGCCATCCATATTTAGTTTTCAATTGGTCACACACACACACACACACACACACACACACACACACACATTTTATAACTTGAATTTCCCTATTAATTTACAATTGCTAGTGTTTGGTGAAGTGAAGCTTAGTAGTGAACTCTAAGCCCCAAGACCTTTATTTTATATTACTTTCTCTGAAATCTAGATTGTCACTTAATTGCATTGTTTTAATTGAACCATTAGTTTAATTAATCAAATCGAACCCCTTTTTTGATCATTCGACCTATTAATCCAACATTGATTTCAAGAATACTCTACCTTTCCCTTGGGATGATCCCTACTCGCTCTTGCTACGTTAGTAGTTACGAGTGGCAGTGACATTCTATAAATTTAAACTTGGCCACATTTCATCACACTTTAAGCTTTGGTTGTCATTGACGACAAAAGGCACACCAATTATTATAGGAACCTTAAATTACTCCACTGAATATTGCTCTAAGAATATTATGGGAGTGATTTTACTTTATGATAAAATATGATTGGAGTAATTTATGGGATTGATTTTATGAATCATCAATTAATGTATTTTTCATATTTATCGCTTTGGTCCTTCACCTATAAATAGAGGTGCTCATTGTAAACAATCTTAAGAGAGAATATAATAAGGGTGATGTAGCCCTTTGGGCTTTATGTGTCTTTCCTTGCATTCTTCATTTTTAATTTCTCTCTTCAATTTTTATTTCTTTCAACATTATGCATGCTATATATATATATATCAAATCATTCACATACAATATCAAACTTAACATGCTTTAACTTGAATAAACCAAATCATCATATTCATAAAATGATTCATGTAGAGCAACAACCATATAAAGGAAATGAACATGTAAGGAACAACAACTAGCACATAATCATGCTTTTAAACAAATACACATGTAGATACTCACAAAGATTAAATACATTGTAATTTAGACTTCCCTACCTCAAATGGAGCAACCAAAGCTTAGATAGCAACTCAAAATTCCAACAAATGCATGCAAGACCGGTGTCAAAACGTAACCCTTGCCAAGCTCTTCAACTCTTTTAACTATAGTTTGGGCTAATTCTAACTCAAAAATTGAGAGATCTTAGAGAGAAGTTGGAGAAATATAGAGAAAGATAAATGAAGAATGGAGAGAAAAGATGTGGGTGGCTGAGAGAGAGAGAGAGATGAGTGATGAGACCCTTGTAGTCCAAAATGGACTTTAGGGTCTTCCAAGACTAGTCAACCCATGGGTCACATTCTTTGACCCTCACAATTACCACATGCCCCTTGAATTAACTTTAATCACTAATATGCCAAATAATATCTCCTCCCACTAACCACCCATACATACATATATATATATACACAGACACACACACACATACACATCAATGCTCAAATAAATAAATAAATAAATGTAATAAAATCATCGGGATTCGCATAACGCGTAAAACGTTATACGAAAAATAAATAAAATAAAATATTAAAAAATTTGAAAAAAATCCGGGACACTACACTCAGTGAAGCTTTAACTGTGATAAGCAAACACGATTTCCTGAACCGGCCTCACAACCATCTTCGATATTAATGATAACCCCAAACCACGATCATCGAGTCATCACCGCCAGACCAGCATCACAGCGTTGTCACTGCCATGTCGAGATCAATTTTGACATTAACCCCAAACCTCACCGCCAACATCATTGTAAACCTAGCTATCTTCAATGGTTCTTTGGGTTTTTAGGGTTGATTCTTTGTATATTTACATATATGTATATATTTTACATACTGAAGGGTGGTGGTGTAATGGTTCACAGTCACGGTCACGGTTGTGATATCGGTCTCAGTCGTGGTCGCGGTGTAATGAACTCCGACAAAATCAGTGTAAATTGGCGGATACAGATTGCGTATCAGACTTGAAAAATGATCGCGTATCGGCTGATTTATCGCATATCGGACGATACAGTATATTGTTGGTGGCGATGGAAAGGAAAATAGTGGGAAAAAGGAAAAAAATGAAAATATTTTATTGGGTAAATGTTAATGGGCAAAAGGGTCATTTTCTATTATAAATATTTTATCCATTTTTAATAATATAATAATAAGGGTATACGAGTAAATTCATAACAAAACCTGACATGGAGGTGTCTTAGCCAAAAAAATAAAAAAAAATGACAAATATCAAATTTATTTACAATTAGATGAAACCTCTGGAGAGGTTATAATAGTTTGCTCAACATTTTCAATCAAAATCCTATATGGGACAAACCTACAACACCATGCCCACAGAGTGAACATGTTAATAATATAAGATATCCAAATACCTAACACCCAAACCATCTCATTTGGACACACAGAGAACACTTATACCTAAAACTTCCAGGCTTTTCTCTCCCTACATTTTCTCCTCTGCGCACACCCAACTCCACTTCTTCCTTCTGTTTGCTCCCTCCTCCCTTCCATGGGAGTGGGGAGGTGATGGCTTGCTTCCTACGGCTGCAATAAACTCAGCGTGTTTTAATAAATGCGTTTCGTGGGGATTTTTTTTACGCCATTTTTGTTTTTGTTCTGCTTAGATTTGCTCATGTTTGGTTCGTTTTCGGCTCACATGAGTGGATCTGTTGTTTTTCTTCGGCTAGATCTCTGACTAGGTCAGTTTTTATTTGTTCCCGCCTAGATCTAATCTTTTTCTTCTTGATTTGATCTTGTGCGGGGTTTTTGGTGGTATTCCCCCTGTCAAAGCACCATATGGTTGTAACTTTGGAGCTGTTACCTTGATGATTGCAGACATTTGGGTCACTCATGTTGTGGCGTTTCTCCTTTGATGGTTTCCGTTGTAAAGCTTTGACTTTCGTTTCTCCACAAATCTGAAGTCTGTTCTTTATTTTTTTTTATTTTGCTTCAAGATTTTTATGTCTTTTATGACTCGACTTTTTTGCATTTGTACCGCCGTTATGGCTCGGCCTTTGTGCCTTTGAAATCTGATAATAATAATAATAATAATATTATGACACTAATAAAAAGCACACATATTAGTCGGATTTTATCCGGACGGGTGGATTGGACCCTAACCCACAGGGGACAACCCAACCCTAATCCACCTGTCCTCACTTCCTTTCAAAAACCCTAATCCTATTTGTTTCACTCGCCCTCATTTCTCTGCGGAGAGAGAGAGGGAGCTGATTATCATGGCAGCCCCAATTGAGTCTGTGCAGTGCTTCGGGCGCAAGAAGACTGCCGTGGCCGTGACCTACTGCAAGCGCGGGCGTGGTCTGATCAAGATCAATGGCCGCCCCATCGAACTGGTGGAGCCGGAGATCCTCCGCTACAAGGCGTACGAGCCCATCCTCCTCCTGGGTCGCCACCGCTTCGCCGGCGTCGACATGAGGATCAGAGTCAAAGGCGGTGGTCACACCTCCCAGATCTACGCCATCCGTCAGTCCATTGCCAAAGCCCTCGTCGCCTACTACCAGAAGTACGTCGACGAGCAGACCAAGAAGGAGATCAAGGACATCCTCGTCCGCTACGACCGCACCCTCCTGGTGGCGGACCCCAGACGCTGCGAGCCCAAGAAGTTCGGTGGACGTGGTGCTCGTGCCAGGTTCCAGAAGTCGTACCGTTAAGGGGCTCATGAGGTTCGGAGAGAGAATCACTTCAAATTCAAATGTTTTGGTTTTAAGCTTCTCATTTAAGCTTCTCTATATATCACTGTTTGATTGAGTAATTGACTGTTCAGGAATTTAAATTTTGCAGAAAATTTTGATTTAATTGTTTTTGGTTGCACAATTTTATTATTGGATGTTTGTGATAGAGGATTGAGTATGGAGTTTCAGATTAGTCTGAGTGTTATAGGAGTCTTTTTTAGGTTCAATGTGTAGCTTGAAACATAGGACATCATGCTTTTTATCTCTCCCTTGACCCAACTTAAAGAGTTCTGTAATCTGTGGTTTTAATGGGTTTGGTTCGATTTATAGTTTGCAAGCTATTTAATTGTCTTGGCTGTGGAGTCTTATTTTGCTAGGTTAAGAATCCGATATGGAATTAATCTTCATTGATTCAAATTTGTAGTTGTCAATATGAAACTACACGAATAGGAATGGCCCATGTGTGATGTGTGTCCAATAGGTTATTGATCTTTACATGTGATGTTGGGAGAAGATGAAAAGTTTCAAATTTGATAAAAGAATGATTTCCTACCTCTTACATAGAGAGAGATGGAAACCTAATGTTCTTCACCACGCACTATATAATTTTTATATTTATTATTATTATATCAAATTATAATATTATGTTTATATAACATATAATAAATGCACAGGATGTGTTTCTGTACCAATACCAAATGTTTGGGCAACTTTTAGGCTAAGTTACCACATCATGATACTTGGAGTTTAGGGAAATGTGGCATTTCATTGTTGCAAGTACTCCTTCCTGGCCATTTCTCAGAATGCTAGTTATCTTTTGATGTGCGCATTATATAAATAGCTTTGTAGTTTTGCATTGGGATCATGTCATTTTTAGCCTTGCTTCATACTTTGTTTGCCTAGAATCTTTTTGATATTTTACTAATTTTTTAATCTGTGGATTTTAGGAGCAGCAATCCAGTGCATTAAAAAGTATCATGTTTGGGTATTACTCCTTGTGCAAAGCTTGTGAATTAAAGAGAGAGGAAAACATTTGTGCATAAATTTCAACCTTTAGTTTCTTGATTCTGTTCTGACTAAAGTCGAGGTCTGGTAAGCAGAAATCTAAAAGTTCTGCTAGGTTTTTGGAACATTCTCGCCTTACTTAAACCCAAAATTTCTCTTTATGAAGCTTGGTCTCACTCGTACTTGAGTTAGGTATTGGGTCTGTAAGTCCAACTGTGGCTCCAGAAATCCTTTGGATGGGAAGATGGAAGTGCCTCCACAGATTGTCTTGTTGGGGGAACATATGCTTTCTTAAGGCTTGTTTTGTCTCCAGTCCTGGTTGAACAACATGGGTAGTGTGTCCATTCCTCCTGTGAGTGCACGATTATCCTTCCCCACTATCTATGATAGCAATTTCCCTGCAACAGACCTGTATTAGGACATCTGATTTACTAAGTTCGGACTACTTGTACCACTTTGAATTGTTTGAACTTCTCTTCTTCTATTGTAATTTTTAATTACTGACTCATGTGTCGTAAGTGGTGACTAAATTGTACTGACAAAAACAATAATAATTAAAAAAATTAGAATTAATGAGATATCATTATAATTACTGTGGCTTAATGTAGTCCTTGGAAGGATTTGTAATGTGTTTGTCTAAACTTCAAGGGACCTCATGTTTGCCTACATGAGTGACCAGGCTGTAATGGTTGATGTTGATTGTCGATCACCATGTTGGATAATTGTGGTTGAGGCTTGTCACGATGCATGGATCAATTATTATTATTCTACTCTTTTATTGCCATTTTATTTATTTATTATTGTTTCTCATTTCATATCGGCATGGAGTCCATCCCTATTGAACTTCGTATTGTTCTGCTGGACCATATCATGGTAATGACAGTGAATACAGAGACTTTATTAGAGGAAAATATCAAGTTGCTTTGCTCAAATTTTACCAATTTGATCATCTTTCCAGAGGAAAGAATTAGGAGCTGCAATAATGAATGTCTGCACAAAACAGAAAGTTCATGGGTCTTTTAAGTTTTAACCATCCCATATAAGGACTTGTTAATCTAATGTCTAGAATTATGTTCAGAGCATTTTTTTTTTTTTTTTTTTTTGACCTTTTCGATTGCCAAGTGAATTATGATGGTTGTGGGTGTTGCTAGTTCCTCCGATACTTTTTTCGGGCTAACATGGTATCCATGTTAATTGTGAAGTTGAATTTGTATTTTGATTGATAAGGTTGACAAGCAGTTGATACATGTAAGTCCATGTTCAGTTCTGGCATGACAGTTCTTTCAAATCTGTATTTGGCTTTTGAAGTAAAATATCTCTAGCCTTTTAAGATTGCTTCATGCTTCATGCTTCATGCTTCATGCTTCATGGTATTATTTTCACATGCATGTTTAAATTTTCGGTGGAGATTTTATTCCTTTTTGAGTGAGTATTTCAATTCTTATGAATTATGATAATCTAGCAGAAATTGAGAAGCTTTTTATGGAAAGAAAATATAAGAAAAGAAAAGAAAAGAAAAGAAAAAAAGATGGGGATGGGAACATGTTAAACAGTGAAGTAATGAATGAAAGAAGTTGCTAATTGCTGGTAACTGGATGGGTGGTTGTTGACACTGCTCTTCTCATTAATATTAAAATAAAGGATAAATTATGCACCTTCATTATTAGCTTCAACCATGGAGACTAACAAAACAATGCCCTCAATTCATCTCCTTTGCTGGGATCCACCAACACCCCTTCACCAAATTGCTCCATTCGCTGTAGAACAAGAATAAGCCTTGAATTGACAATTTGAACCCCAACCCTAATTCTAGCGCAAGTCCCCTGTAAATTGATAGTATGCACGGCTTCTCATAAAGAAATTCCCAAAAATGTTATTAAAATTGCAAACCCATCTATGCGAAATATTAGGTGTGCCAAATTGCTCCTCTCGAGTTTCAAGAATGTCATTTGCCTTTCTTAAAATGATGTCAGTTCAAGCCAAAGTTGCTCAATGATGTTAATTGATGATGTCAGCATCCTGATCACCTGGAAAGTCCATATTGCTCTCTAAGATTTACTAATTGTTGTAATATTACCTTCCACCATAGATATTAACAAACAATGCCCTCAATTCATCTCCTTTGCAGGATCCACCAACACCCTTTCACCAAATTGCTCCATTCACATTACTATCACAATGAACAAGAATAAGTTCTGAATCGACAGTTTGAACGCAAGCCCTAAATCCTATAAATTGATAGTATGCACTGTTTCTCATAAAGAAATTACCAAAAATGTTATCAAAATTGCAAATCCATGTATACGAAATATTAGCTAGTTAGGTGTGCCAATGATTCCCTCAATCAGAGGTGAAGAGAGAGAAAGGATAATGGCGAGAGAGATTAGGGTTTGGTAGGCAATGTTTGTCCAAAGACCAGACCGAGCCCTCCTCACATCACATTTCACACAATCATCAATGGACTTCTCATCTTCGTCAAACATATCAATACCAGTCTCTTTGATCTTTTGGGTAATCTCCTTCGCTACCCCCATGCTCCCTGTATGTTTGCTTCGTCTTTTTTCTTATACTCTGTGCCGTCTTCACTGCAATCCTATTCCTTCCTTCGAGCCGATGTCATTGTTACTCTGTTTCTTTTCCTTTTGTACTATATTTCTTGGGGTCCATGGACTATGCAACATATACGTTTGACGTTTTAAGGTGTAAGAGGTGAAGAAGATAGCATCCTGATTGCATGACACATAGAGGGTGAATTTGGCAATGATGGTTAGGTTAAGGGACTTGTTACAATGGGTGGTGCCAAGGGCACGATCGTTATATAAGAATAGTTTTATTATTATATTAAAATAATTATTTCAAATGTGAAGGTTTTTTTAGTAAAATTCCTATGGTCTGTTAATTTGACTCCAATGGACATTCATTTTAGGGGAGGTAAATGGTTCTCTTAAAAATTAAGGGGAGCTATTTGAGCTTTTAGCTAACTAGAGGGGAGGTGAATTTAATTTACCCTTTTACATATGAATTAATAAATTCTAAACTAAATTGTGATTATTAATAAATTTATTTCCAAACGTTTCATTTTTCTACACAATCCAAAGAACACCAATGCTTGCCAAAAGGTTCTCATATGTATTTCCAAGTTTTCTTTTCGTGGACAACCCAGAGGACATTAACGCTTGCCAAAAGGTTCCATATAAATTTTTAATAAATTTATAGTATTTCTTATATGAATTATTACCTTCAAAGATAAATTATAGTTATTAATGAGAAAATCTAGATTTTGGGCTTGGGTTCAAACTTTCCATTCAGCCAAATACAAAAAAATAAAAAAAATAAAAATGAAAAAAGAAAAGAAAAAAAGAGGTACTTACGATTTTCTCATTTACATTTTTCATTTTTTTTTATATAAAAAATCTAAGAAATAGTATAAAATTGTTAATGAGAAAATCATAAGCACTACTTCTTTCCTTTTTTATTATTATTTTTTATTTGTATTTGGATGCTTTTTTTATTAGTGTATTCGGAGTTTTTTTTTTATTTTTTATTTATAAAAAAAGTGGAATGTTTTTTTTTTTTATTATTTTTTTTTTCAAAAAAATGAAAAATGTTAATGAGGAAATCATAAGGAGTAGGGTAGTATATTTTTTTTCCTTTTTTTGCTTCATGTATTTGGCTTCATTTTTTCTTTGTGCGTTTGGCTTTTTATTTTTATTTTTTTTAATATTGTGGAGTAGGCTCTAGAATTTTTGGGAAGGTATGATTTAATGAGCGTTATTAGACTTTTTAATTTTAAAAAATGAAAAATGGTAATGAGGTATGAATCATAATTTGATTTAATGAGAATTTATTACAATTTTATATTAAAAATGAAATAAAAAATGTCAATGAGGAAATCATAAGGTGATTTAATGAGACTTTATTAGACTTTTTATATAAAAATATATAAAAAAAATAAAGAAATAGAGAAAGGGACTTATACTTTTAGAATAATATAAATATAGATATAGATAATACCATACTAAAATTAAGGGTAAAGTGCAAAAAATCCCTTTCAACTATTAGCCATTTAGCAAAAAACCGCTATGATTTAATAATTTGGCAAATAACCCTCCTGAACTA